CATGACAGAGGAAACAACTCAGCAACTCAGAATATGTAGGTAGATATTATTCAGTGCTATAATGACTTCCAGTTAATGCAGCATGAAACAGTGAATATGCGCTGATGTTTTGCTACCATGCTGCTACCTGAAACCTAGTTAAATTGATCGTAGGAGTTCTGGACACATTCGTATTATTGATGTTTCTGCCCTTCTCTTGATCTTGTCCATACGGATGGATATTAAATGGTGATTTATCTTAACAAGCATGGTATGACATCCTGGCCTTTGCATTGACAGAAAAAGGCTGGAGTAGATAGGAACTGAGTCTGTTTGGTACATAGTTTGTTCAATCTGGGTGTTTTCAAAAAAAAAATCCTCCCCATAGAAGTATTTAGAATGCAGATATTCGTAGCCATTAATCACTGATGAATTTCTTCAGGATAATTCTGTGTATGACGGTGAATATGCACTGATGTTTCATTAGCCATACTGCTAGCTTCTTCAGAATAAATCTGAAACTGATCTTGGCCCTGTGCATGTTCAGTGGAAGGCAGTGTCCACAACCAGTCACTGGGTACCATGCAGCCATACTGTAAGTTGATAGCCTTCCTCCCTATTTAAATTATTTGAATGTTAAAGAATTTATATTACCTCTCTATTAAATCTGGGGGAAGATACCTGTTACATCATTTATTTCTTTACTTATTTCATTAGATTTGGACACTACCCAACTCCAAACTGACTCTGTGGGGCTACCTAAATGCTAATGTTCTAAAGGTCTGTTTTGTGATTTAGCTTTGTGACTGGTGTCCAGCCTAGGCTAATTATCTTATGTTTTTAGTCTAACATTCCACTGAAGATTTTTTTTTTATTCTATGAAGTGTCCAGTTTGTCTGATGTACAGTCTGGTGATCTATTTTATATACTCCATTGCTTCTTGGTGTGGAGAGTTTACCCTTTGTAGAGGGAAGCAGTTGTTGTATGCATTCCTGTCCCCAAAATATATTTCGGAATTCTTCGACATCAGCCAAAATGCTGGAAATGTGTATATTTATATCCCAATGTGTTGATAATTAGAAATGTGTTAAGTTGAACTGTCAGTTGTCATGATGAATTCTATCTCAAGCTATTAGCCAGATTTTCAACACGTAGCAAGCCAAGCTTCATGGTATGGAATATTTGGCCATTGTAATTGGGCCAGGCTTAGTTTGGAGAATGGGAGACTTTATCCATGTTTTTGAAGAAAACCTCAGCTACCATCAGCTAATATAGCAAATACAATAAAAGTAGAAAGTAGAAAAGTAGAAAATCCTGGCATTTATGGTCCTAGCTCAGCCTTCTGCAAACTAGCACTTTCTAGCTGTGTTGGGACTACAGCTTCTGAAATTACAAGCCTATGTTCCTGCAGGAACATAGTTTTAAGACTCTGGGAGCTATATCCTACCAATATCTGGGGAGTGCCAAGTTGGAGAATGCTCTTCTATATTATAAGCATGATCCAGCAAAGGGAGATCTCTTAACATACCATTGGTTTTTTTATGAAAAGAGATTTATTCACATGTTTAACTTTCCATTTGAAATCACTGGGGTTTTAAAGTACCTAACTTTGGCTATATTATATCTGTTTTCTTAGGCTTAAGTATTCTTGTGTTATCAATATTATGTTTACCTAGAACCAAAGGAAATGGTTGTGTACTGGTCCTAAATCTGCTAATGTCTTTCACAAATTAACCATCTAAGTTGAGTATTCTCAAATGATTTTATGTGGAGTCAAAATAACAGGTGTAACTGGGGAAAGATACATATATTTTCATAAACATTGAGTCTGAACATCTGCTTCAGTAAAAAAATTCATCTCATTTATGAAGAAAATAGGGTATAAATCATCTGATAACTGTCAAAAAGATCCTCAAAGTATTGTGTAGGCATGTTCCAAACTAAAGTTAATGGGACTTGCATCTGTAGACTATTCTGAAAATTAAGGGGTGTGATTGTTCTGAACATTAAATACTTTAATGTTTTATACAATTCCAGTCACTGCTAATCATAAATTTGCAGATCACAACATAGATTTTCTAAAGGGACTGCAGTACATGCAGTAATACTTTTCTGGTTCATATACTTGCAATTCTTTTAAGGAAATATTTTTGTAAGGTGCCAGATATGATGTTAATTTCCCCATAACAGTATAAAGACATTCTGATTTAAACATTAGGGAAAATAGCTAGTGTATAGATTATGCTTCTTTTCCCGATTACTAGATTTTTGAAAGAACTTTCCCAGGCTAGTTTCCTTCAGAGGACAATCCACAAGAATTTTGACTACTTCCTAGTGATAATTGTACCAAGCTGGAGGGGTGTGGAAAACTATCAAGGAAATAATAATTTTAAAAAGCAGGTGTTTGTTTCTACAGTTACTGCTTGAGCTAAAGTTCTTGTTGCATCTGAACTTACTGTTCTGGAATGAAAATAACTGACACAAGGACTGGCACTGTCTCCATATAGATTACAGCCAGCTAAATGGTTGTAGCTGTCTTGCACAAAAGACTTCATTGTTTCTCTAAAAATATAACTTTTACATCAGTGATGGGGATCCTACTGTTGGATTACAAGTGCCTTCATCATTTGGCTGTTATTCAGCTTGAGTTTGGCTGTTGGAATCCAGTGACATTGAAAGAAACAAAGATTCTCCATTCTGATTTAATCACTGTAGATCAGTGGAAAATCTTTAATTGGAGCATACTAATTCCATGGAAGAATCAGTGTTGGCCCAGTAGCAGAACTAGCCCATCTCATTCCTCCACTTAAGACTGGAAATAGCTTGTTAAAAATTAGTCTCGGGTATCCCAGCTCCATGTCTGCCAGCCCCATTTCCAATTTATATGTTACAATGCGCCAGTAGATACTCATAGGAATGAACACGTTGCCTTTACTGATTGAAGTTTAGTACAGATACAGAAGAATCAGGGAAGATCCAGTTGTTATGTTTTTCAGAAAATGAGTCTCTCAGTTTATGGACATAAATTTACAAGCAATATATTGACTGAACTAGCTTGACAAGAACAGAATTCAATATACAGATGATGGTTTCCTTGTAGTAGTGTTATATTTTAGCCAAGAAAGCATTAACATGGACAATTTTGCAAACTGTTTCAGTTATTTAGCCAAACAGAAAGAGGCTGGGAAGTTGATCTTGGAGACCTATTTCAAAGTATTACATATTTTATTTTGGGAGCAAATAACTGATTTGTTTGGTTCTAAGTCAACTTTAAACACAACATAAAAGTTGAATGTAACACCTGTGAAGCACCAACAATTGTTCAGAATTAGTAGAAGTGGAACATTTCTGGCGCTTCCTCACATTTGATGGGAATTTGAATATTTAACATGATTCAGATGACAGATGTCAGATATGTTGGATTATTAAATTAATTTAGAACCTAAGTCTAGATTACTTCTATTAATGGTGCTTGCTGATGCATAAAGAACATATTCAAAAAGGCCATGTGCTCTTTTTTGATATCTTCATGTCTTTTGGCAGTCATATAATATCAAAAAGATTTAATATTTGTTTTTAGGCATATATACATGCTGTGGCACTCCATGTTTTCTATATTGGATTTTAGTATTAAAAAGTCCATGAATTCTGTCAGTGGTAATGCTACTATGTATATATTATTTTTACCAAACAATATTTCCTTTTATTTGTTAATAGCCTTATTGGATTTTATTATAATCTCAACCTATAGAGGTGATCTCCCATATCCCCATACATACTCTTATCAGGCTCAGCTTCCCCATCTTGAGTACTGTTTAAGGTCCCTTTTGCAATATATACATATACATTGTGTGTGTGTGTTCGGTGAAATATGCAAAGTGTGCACATCTCTCTCCTCAAGTTAAAGCAATAATGCCTGAATATGACTACTTTTTTTGACAATTTTTAAAATATATAAACTTTAATAAATACACTTTAAAAATAAAGAGACCAAAATAGACCCTAGTTTTTGATTAATGCAGCTGGGAGAAACCAGCATGTTGGACTTGACTTTTTATTATTCTCTGAAGCTTTGCTTTCTGAGAGACGTATGCATCCTTGGGGCTGAGGATAAGTGGGAAAATGATAAAAATCTGAGTCTCAGATGAGGCCTCATTCCCCTGTTTCATTCTTAACTGCAGGCCACAGTGTTAGGCTGCTAGCAATATCAGAATATACGAAGATAAATCTGTGTTTTGACATGTAACCGCTCAGACTTTTGGTAACTGCTTATTGCAAACAGCATAGTTTAAGGCATTTTGCATAACATTTGCCCTCCAGAAACAAATAGACATGTAATTACTTTGTAATCATATAGTAATTAGTGTCTACCATGCCTATATTGCATAATTATATGCCCTGCAAATTATATGGAAATTATACTTGGATTTAGTTTGCATTTCTGTACACACTGTTGTAGACAAAATAAATTTAGGATTTAATATATAATTATAACTGTAGAGATATTAAAACCTGGTAGGATGCTACAACTATCTTTTGCCAATTAGTTTTTTGCTGAGGTTTGGAGATCATTCCTCAAAAACCATGCTGTGTCATAGACTGTGGCTGAACTGAATAATTCTTGAAATAGGGTCATATGTAGGCTTATAGTTTGAAATTATATTCCTGAGCTCGACAAGAGTTTTAATTCTGAACAGGAGATCCTAATGTGAACAAGGTCATACGAGTAGCGTATCTCAGTTGACTTCAAAGATTTTGGGTGGTGTTTAGGTAGATTCTTCTGAGCCAAGGTTTCCTTCTATATTCTGCTGCACCCATAATCTATATTCCAAGCTAATCTTAGTGGCTTGAGCATCACAACTATCTATTTGCACATTTCCTCTCAAAAGTTACTTTCGGCCTTATATTTTATGCAGTAATCATTAGTTTCTTGAGTTATGTCTTCTGAATGCATTTATAATGTAAATTTCAACTTTCAGCAATAATATATTTTCTTCTACTTTTTCTTTTTCTAAATGCAGTGGAGCCTGTCATTTCAAAAGGGAACAACTGTTTGGACGCTGCAAAAGCCTGTAACCTAGATGATACCTGCAAGAAATTTCGATCGGCGTACATAACACCCTGTACCTACAGTGTGTCTAATGAAATCTGCAATAAGCGGAAGTGTCACAAGGCCCTAAGGCAGTTTTTTGACAAAGTTCCCCCCAAGCATAGTTATGGGATGCTCTTCTGTTCCTGCCGAGATATTGCATGTACAGAAAGAAGACGACAGACTATTGTCCCTGCGTGTTCATATGAGGACAGGGAGAAACCAAACTGCCTGAATTTACAAGATACTTGCAAGACGAATTACATCTGCAGGTAAGATAACACATGACACTGGGGTGATTAATGAGGTGGCGCAAGGAACTGCTGAAATTACCAGTGCTGGGGAATAGCGTTTCCACCAAAGAACAGGGCAGTAGGGAAAGAAAACCTGTAACCTTTAACAGAATAATAAAAACATCTAGTTACACCTGTATATCATTGAAATATCTATTACCCCTGGGAACTCTGTATGTGTGTCTTTCTATACACACATACATAACTTTAGCAAGAAAGAAAATGAAGTAGTATTCTTTTCTAACTAATTCTACAAGTGATCTTTTCTGTTCTTGGCAGATAAATCAGCAACTTTTAATTAACAATTATTTGACAGGAAGACAAAATAATAATGTGGTAATTGATACAATTATAATTAGTTTTCCTGAACAAATTGTGATTGGTTGTGGATTCATACCTTGGTGTGGCTCCTGATACTGAAAGCAAGAAAAGAGAAGGTATGTAACAGACTGAAATGGGGAAAAGGTTAATTTCCAAGAGATGGTACACATGACTCATTATCAGTGAAGCAGACTTTTAAAAAATCAAGGAAATCTTGGTATTGTAAGAGGGTGGTGAAATAGTATTTAAAGAAATCCTCAGTGGTGGAATCAGTCCAACCTCAGATCATCCAAAAATATCAGGACCAAAATTCCCAGTCACAACACTTCTTGAAAGCCCAGGCTTGGAGCTGTAAATGCTAAGTTCCATTCCGTATATAATTTATATGTTGCAGTATGCTGGCTCTTTTAGGTATATTTATTTTTTCAGTGTTTAAGGCCACTTGCCTTGGATGGTTCACAAAGAGTTAAAAACATCAACATGCATAAGCCTTAACCTCAGTTTAAAAAAAAAAAACCTACCTTGGGAACAAATCAACTCCAATTACATAGAATTAAATTGAAGCATAACTTTTATGAATGCTTTTAGTCTTCTGACAATGAGGACATTTCCTCACTAGTGATTTATATTGCCAAGCAATCACCATTGTTCCAATATAAGCAAAACAGGTCTTATGTCACCACAACAATGGTCAGATTATGACGTAAGGCTCTTTAAATCACTCGTTTAATGGCCTTTATCACTGATTTCCATACCTTTGTTATTTAAATCATTTGAAAGGTCCATGTTTCTTTATGTATAGTTCTTCTAATTAACACAGTTCTGAAATAAAATTTCAGATTGTATGCTTCCTGTGTGCCTCAAACTAACAACTAGAATACTAGGGCATTCTGTGATTGTTGAAAATAGGAAATCAAATGGTTAACCAAGATTGCCTCAGTCTGAAACTACAGCATGTATTTCTTTTAAGTGCCATCATTACTCCTGCTATCTTCATTCATTTGGGCATCCAACTTTCTAAATGCTATTTCATTTTCTCACTTTCCCTCATCTTTCTTGACTTCATGCCTTGCGTTCTCCATCATTGCACTTTCCAGCTTCTTGGTCAAAAAAAACTTTATTGCTATTTTTTTGAAAGCAGCAGGAATATGAAAATGGATTTTTGTGCAGATTACCTATTGCAGTTCTCTTTCTATTCGAACTTCTGCTCGTAGGTTTTACCTTTGACAGCCTGGCTGTTCTGGTAATAGTCTCAGAACTAGGTCACCCTTGCATGTTCATCAGCTGATTGCTCTAATACTAAGTAAATACTTGCATGTGGAAAACAAGTTATATCAAATTATACCAAAACTGGAATTGTAACACTGTCTTATATTTTGGACAGAGGCAGTTAGGCTCCATTCTTAATGGTTAGAGGATTACCGAATCTAAGGGTCTTTTTACCACGTTTTGTTCATTATTTTTGTGCCTTTGAGTCAGTGCTGACTTCTGGCAACTGCTTTTACCATGTCTAGTATTCTCTAATTTTCGTGGTAATTTGGACATTGTCTCTGTTTTAAGAGCTGTTTGAAGCCGCAGTAACTCTGGAATTGTTATTACTCTTTTCTGTCCTTTGACTTTTTTCCCCACTTTCTATAATTTTTTTGTTGTTCAGTCGTTAAGTCGTGTCCGACTCTTCGTGACCCCATAAACCATATTGCAC